GAGGGAAAAAAAAAAAAAAAAAAATCAATGAAACTAAAAGTTGTGTCTTTGAAAAAATGACAAAACTTGTAAACCTCTGGCTAGATTCACCAAAAAGAAAGAGAAAAAAGATGCAAATTACCAATATCAGGAATGAAAGAGGGGCTATCACTACAACCCACTGAGAAATTAAAAGGATAAGAGAATACTATATTTTGCACATAAATTCAACAACTTAGATTAAAAGGACCAATTCCATGATAGAAATAATTAACTTGAGTATGTATTTAAAAAAAAAAAAATCTTCCAAAACAACAAAAAAACCATCCCTGATACTTTCACTAGGGGAATGTTACCAAATTACCAATGAAACATAAAATCTCTTCCAGAAAACAGAATAACAGGGAACACTTTCTATCTCATTTTGTGAAGCCAGAATTACCCTGATATTTTCAAAACCAGACAAAGATAGTATAAGGAAAAAAGAAGACATATCAATATCTTTCACCAATAGAGAAGAAAAACAAAAAATACTCAATAAAATATTAGCAAATTGAATCAAAAAAATATATAAAAGTAACAATGCCTAATAACCAGGAGGCTTATTCCAGGACTACAAGGTAGATCAATACTCAAATATCAATGTAATCCACCATATATTAACAGGCTAAAGAAGATTAACTACATGATCACATCAAATAATGCAGAAAAACATTTGATAAAATCTAATATTTATTTATGATGAAACCTCAGTAAACTAGAAAAAAGAGAACTGTCTTAACCAGATAAAGCAGGGGTCCCCAACCTCTGGGCTGCAGATTGGTACCAGTCTGTAGTCTTTTAGGAATCAGGTCGCACAACAGGAGGTAAGTGGCAGCTGAGTGGAGTTCTGCATTCTGTCAACTCAGTGGTGACATTAGATTCTCATAGGAACATGAACCCTATTGTGAACTGTGCATGTGAGGGACCTAGGCTGCACGTTCCTTATAAGAATCAGATGCCTGATGATTTCTACCACCTCCTCCCCTCCTCCATGCCCATTCATGGAAAAATTGCCTTCCACAAAAACAGTCCCCAATGCCAAAAAGGTTGGGGATCGCTGAGATAAAGGACATCTTCAAGGAACCTACAGTTATCTTCCTATTTAATGGTGAAAGACTGAGTGTTTCTCTGCTAAGATAGAGAATAAGGCAAGGACTCCTTCTCTCATGACTCCTATTCAACAATGTACTGGAAGCCTTAGTTAGTGCACCAAGAAAAATAAATAAAGGAATACAGATTGAAAAGGAAAACGTAAAACTGTCCCTATTTGGTGGTAACATAATTTTCTATGTAGAAAAACCCAAGGAATATACAAAAAGTTCCTAAAACAAGTGGGTTTAGCAAGGTTGCAAGATACAAGATCAACATACAAAAAACAACTGTAGAAGTAAGTATTAACAGTGAACAATAAGAATTTAAATAAAATGAAATCTACACATACATACATACATAAATTGTATGTGTTGTGTATATATGTATATAGATCATTCACAATAGCCCCCCCAAAAAATAAACACATATATACATAGGTTTAAATCTAACAAAATTCATAAAAGATGTATGTACTGAAAATTACAAAATGCTGACTTTAAAAAAAAAGTCAAAGACCTAAATAATTGAAGAGACATACTATGTTCATGGACTGGCAACTTCATATAGTTAAGATACTACATAGTCAATTCTGTCCAATCTGATTTAAGAGCTACTGCAATTCCAACCAAAATGTTAGCAAGACTTTGTTTGTAGATATAAACAAACTGATTCTAAAATTTTTAAGAAAGGCCAAAGGATCTTAAATACTCAAGTAATTCCATAAAAGAATGAAGCTGAAAGACCCACATTACTGTACCTGATTTTAAGACTTGCTATGAAGGAAGCATAATCAAAACAGTGGGATTTTATAAAAGGATAGGCAAGTATATAGATGCAACAAAACAGAGAATACAGAAATAGACATACACAAATGTTGACCACATTGATTTCTGACCAAGATGCAAAGGCAATTTAGTGAAAATGGCATAATGTTTCCAAAAAATGATATCAAAACAAGTGTATTAACCATGTTTTTTTCCCTCTAATTTATAAAATTTTGGCATCTTAAAAAGCATGCTGACAAGGGAGAGATTGCCCATCCTTGGGGCTAGTCTATTCTTAGAGACAGTCAAGGGCTCAGATAGAATCACATCTTTCATATGCAAACGAATAAGTCCCAAGTCTACAGCCTGCAATCACCTGTTTCTCTAACTCTTTACATAAGTCAATCATTTTCTATGCCCTAAATCATCCCAGGACCAGGTACCAGACAAACAGAAATAGAGACCATCCCTACAGCTTCAAAGCCCAAAAGGGAGTTCAAACTAGCCCTTACTAAACTGTTTACTTTGACCACCTTGCCTTTCCTGAGAAAACCCCAATAAAAACTACTTAGCTTTCCTTTCATTTTTGCTATGCTCACCATAAAATGCTGGTATTTCCCTTGTGGTCTTGTGTGGATTGATGTGTTCCCTTCTCTGGGGAAATGTAAGTAATAAATTCTTCTTTCAATGGCATTGACTTCTCTGTGTCATGTTCAAAAATTAAAATCCTGTAGATAACATTATCATATCCATATGCCACAAATGAATCTCAACCCCTACCTTACAGTTTATACAAAAATTAACTCAAGATGCCATATGCCTGTATGTAAAACTGTAAAACTTTTAGTAGAAAACATAGGATAAATCTTTGTGACCCTGAGTTAGATGAAACTCTATTAGATATATCCAATACCAAAAGCATAATACATAAAAGAAGAAACTAATAAGTTGGATTCTACTAAAATTAACACTTTTCACTCCCTGGAAGACACTGCTTAAAGAATAAAAAGAGAAGCTTTTGAATAGGAGAAAATATACATAAGCTTAACAATAAGAAAACAGCAACTCAATTTTTAAAATAGCCAAAATAATGCCAGGTGCAGTGGCTCATACCTGTAATTACAGCACTTTGGGAGACAAAGTGGGAGGACTGCTTGAGCCCAGGAGTTCAAGACCAGCCTAGGCAACATAGTGAGACCTCATCTCTGCAAAAACATTTTAAAAAAATAGCTGGGTGGGGTGGTGCACGCCTGGAGTCCCAGCTACTTGGGAGGGTTAGGTAGAAAGATTGCCTGAGCCCAGGAAGTAGAGAGTGAGGTAAGCCATGATCATGCCACTGTACTCATGCTACTAGAGAACAGTGAGACTTTGACTCAAAAAAAAAAAAAAGAAAAGAAAGCCAAAATACAGACTATAAATAAGCCCTTGAAAAGATGCTCAAGATCTTTCCAGTCATTCTAGAAACATAATATAAAAACAACAATTTAGATACCACTATCCACTTATTAGAACAGCTAAAGTTTAAAAACAACTGACAAATGTCAAGGACACAGAATAACTGGAATTCTTACACACTGTTGGTTTAAATGAAAAATATTAGTCATTCTAGAAAACAGTTTGGCAGTTTCTTATAAAGGGAACTATACACTTAGCACACTAATCAGTAATCCCACTCCTAGGTATCTATTCTGGAACGTCTATGTTCAATAAGAACCTGTAAACAAATATTCTTGTAGCTCTATTCATAATCACCTCAAACTGGAAACCACACAAATGTCCAACTGGTGAATGGATAAACACTCTAGCAAGTGTTTATCAAAGTAATTGTACTAAAAGTTAACTCAAGGCCAGGCTCAGTGGTTCAGCCTGTAATTCCAGCACTTGGGAGGCCAAGGCGAGTGGACTGCTTGAGACCCAGGGTTCAAGACCAGCCCGGGCAACTTGTTGAGACCTCGTCTCTACAATAAACAAAAAATTAGCCAAGTGTGATAGCACACACCTGTAGTTCCGGCTACTTGGAAGGCTGAGGTGGAAAGATCGCTGGAGCCCAGCAGGTCAAACTGGGGTGGCTGTGAGCGTGCCACTGCACTCCAGCCTGGGCGACAGAGTGAGAGACCAACTCAAAAAAAAAAAAAGGAAGAAAGAAAAACATTTGCTGGGCTCGGCAGCTCAGCCTGTAATCCCAGCACTTTGGGAGGCAGAGGTGAGTGGATTGCCTGAGCCTGCAGATTTGAAACCAGCCTGGGCAACGTGGAGAGAGCGCGCCACTACAATAAAAAAAAAAAAATTAGCCGGGTATGGTAGCATGCACCTGTAATTCTAGCTACTTGGAAGGCTGAGGCGGAAGGATCGCCTGAGCCATGCAGGTCGATGCTGGGGTGGCCATGAGCATGCCACTACACTCCAGCCGGGGTGACAGAGTGAGACTTCAACTCAAAAACATAAAATAAAAGTAACTCAAACTATGTAACACTGTGAGAAAGTGAAAGTTAATTTTCAAACTCCATGTGTCCTGTTAATCTCATAATTTAGGTCCCATAGGAACCATGACTTATCAGGCATCCCTGTCCCTTCTGCAGATATACTTTTTTTTTTTAGTTCTTGCCTTCAAAATACTGAAGAAATTACTTACAGCTTTAAGAGTAAGGTCACACTGGAATACAAGTGTCCGTAGTTGTGCTAAAATTTCTCTTTTGGTATTTTCTAGATCATTTCGTCTTTCTTCAACATTTGTCACACAAACTTTGTAAAGTTCATTTGCTTCTTCTACCTTTAGGATTATCATGGAAAAAATTGATCACCAGAATTTATATTATAAAGCAAATAGTTATTATATAAAGCTAAATTTAGATAACTGAAAGCTTTTATCCATGAAAATTCTGAAATATTCTATGTTTTCAATAGAGTATTTCTAAAGATAACATATAATCTGTTCTGGTCAGTGATTCAAGGGCACTTGACTTCAATAGTCAAGGATGATTTACAGTTAGTAAAGTGTTTGTCTATAAAATAAATATCCATTTCTATTTAAAATTGTGTTTTTGGTCAGGCCTATAATCCCAGAACCATGGGAGGCCGAGACAGGAGGATGGCCTGAGGCCAGGAGTTTGAGACCAACCCGAGCAGCATACCGAGAGCCTGTCTTTATTTTAAATAAATAAATAAATGATAAAATAAAAATACAACAGCCTTTTATATTTATATTTAACGCTTTCCATGTAATCTTATAGAAATTATATTTCATCAATAATACAAAACTTCAGTCTCCCCTAGCTATCAGGTCCTGGAATTAGTACATCACCCCTATCTAAATGGTGAACTTTCTGAACAGTTAAGCAAAGTATTAAACTACTGCCTTCTCTAAGACATTTTTCACAAACTCCCACATTCAAGTCTCTTAGCATAGTGGTTCTCAGGTGTGGCTCCCACCAGCAGCAGCAGCATCACCTGGTAACTTGTGAAAAGTGTAGACTGCCTGGGCCCCACCCTTGATCTACTACTAAATCAGAAACTCTGGGGAATGGGACCAGCAATCCGTTTCCGCAAGTACTCCAGGCGACTCTGGCAGACACTGTCATTTGAAACGAAACCAGTAACAGTTTATTGCTAATTCAACTTGCAAATAACAAAACAGAGCATTACCTTTTGGAGAGCCTCCTCTTCCAACCTTCGCTTTTTTTCTAGTTGCTTGTTAAGATTTTTTGGTAATCCCCCACTTGAACACAGGTGCTCCTCCTCCGCACGAAACATGGAAGATTTTGCTTTCTCATATTCGTCCTGACGTTGCATGCATAACACTTTTGCCTTTTTGAGAGCATTCTCCGTTTCGAACTACACAGAAAAGAGTATTAAGCACAGAATGTGGGAGAAACCCTATTGTACAAGTGTCTTTAGAATGCTCAGCAATTTAGTTAAGAAAGCATTTTAGAGCATCAGGTAGATAGATCATTATATACTGCAGACGATTTTAGACATTCTCAAAAAGGCATGTTAAATTTCATTTTAATACTAACCATTTTATTTTGTTCCTGTTTCCAAAGTTCTTTTATTTCTTTTCTTTGTTTTTCCATTTCATTTTTCCTCCCAAGTAGAGGCTGTCAAGGGTATTTAAAAAGGAAAGAGGAAAAAACTGTTTTCCAAGGTCTGCTGTTATAAAAAAAATAAGTGTACTATAAATATAATCTTTACCTGTACAAATTTGTTGGCTTGGAGAGCTGCAATTGTTTGTTGCAAAAGGTGACTGCTCTCTATATCATTAAGAAGAGCATTGGTAAATAGAGACTGCAGTGGCATAAATTCCTAGAATTTAAAATTGAAAAGTAAATTTTACAACAGAAACGGCACAAGAATTCCAGACCCACCACTCTCTTCTTCAAAAAGAGAAACTTTAAGTTTAGACTTCCCCACACAGAAAGATGACTAGTCATGAACAAGACTAGAGAAAAATATTAAAGAAAATTAATTATAATTAATTATAAAGCTAGTTAATAAAAGTAGTAGTAGCTATCAAGATAATCAGTATTTGTACAAAACTGTGAATTTCCTAGTTTTTTTCATAATGGACCTCCAACTAAACTCAAAAGAATTGTATTTTGTCAATGAGAAGATTAGCATTTAAGTACTTTCCCATACTAACTAAAATTTTCTGATTTTGCAAGGCACTATTGGGAGCTCATCTGAGTAGTCTCTTGTAACAGAACCCTGGAATTTCACAGATCACCTACCTGTGCTCCAACGTTAGTTCTAGTTGCCTCTGCCAACTTTACAATATTTCTAGCAGACTCCAATTCTGAAAAGGTTGAAAAACACATCAGAAAGTAACATTAACGTATTTTTCCCCTCCAAACTCTAAAATTACTTGTAGCTCCACAATTAAAAAGTGATTGCAATGACTAGTATGTATCTTGATATAATACAGTGATTTTTTTTTTTTTTTTTTCCCAAGAGACTGGGTCTCACTCTTTGCCTAGGATTGGCCTCAAACCCCTGGCATCAAGTGATCCTCTAACATCAGCCTCCAGAATAGCTGGGCTTCGTGCCATCACACCTACCTCTTAAAGAAGTGACTTTTTTTTTTTTTGAGTGGGGGTCTCATCCAGTTGCCCAGGCTGGAGTACAGTGGCACAGTCACGGCTCACTGCAGCCTCAACCTCCTGGGCTCAGGTGATCCTTCTTGCCTCAGCCTACCGAGTAGCTGGGACTACAAGCTAATTTTTTGAATTTTTGTAGAGACGAGGTCTCACTATGTTGCCAAGGCTGGTCTTGAACTCCTGGGTTCAAGCAATCCTCTCCCTTGACATCCCAAATTGCTAGGATTATAGGTATAAGCCACCATGCCAGCCTCAGTGATTCTTAATTGTTAAGTGCTCATTAGAATTAACTTTTTCAAAACACACTTGCATGGATCTCAGCTCCATGAAGGACAGGTCCTAGGCTTGTGTACTGTCCCTTTTCAAGGCTGTTAAGGTGATTCTAACTAGTATTCTCCATTAAAAGCAAGTAATATAGTAGGAAGAGCACAAGCTTTGGGTAGATACTATATTCTTCCAGTTATAGGTTATAACCTTAGAAAAATCACCTGTCTTGTCTCAGCTATAAAATGGGGATAAAATTCTTGTCTTGCTACTTCCCAGACTTTTGAAAGTATTAAACGAGATAATGAATATGAAAACATTTTGACAACTGTAAAACACTGGGGAAATATTAACTATTAAGATGTTTCTTCTATGCTTTCATTGCCTTCTGCTCACACATCTGTAGTTGCTGTTATCTCCTTTGACGATATCATCTGACTGCATTTCTTTTTACCCACCAGAGTATGACTTCTTTAAAGGCAGAGACAGTATTCTGATTGTCTCTGTGTCCCTAGGTCTAGTGGTTGGCCCACAGTACATGTTCAATAAGTGCATCTAAGTCGGGCTCAGTGGCTCATCCTGTAATCCCAGCACTTTGGGAGGCTGAGGTGAGTGGATTGCCTGAGCCCGCGGGTTCGAGATCTGCCTGGGCAGGCGAGACCTCATCTCTACAATAAATCAAAAAATCAGCCGGGCATGGTAGCGCATGCCTGTAATTGTGGCTACTTGGAAGGCTGAGGCGAAAGGATTGCCGGAGCCCAGCAGGTCGAGGCTGCGGTAGCCGAGAGCGGCCACTGCACTCCAGTCTGGGCGACAGAGTGAGACTCCAACTAAAAAAACAAACAAACAAACAAACAAACAAAAATAAGTGCATCTAACGTGAGAAGCACCTTTCCTATTTCAAGAAGAAAAACTGGATAATGATTATATTCATTACAATAGAACAGTAATTAATCTGGAATCTTATTACTCATAATCTGTAGAAAATGAATTACAATTTAGTTATTATCCTCCAAAATTAACCAGATGCTCCAAAGGGCAACTCACCCAAGTTAAGTTTTTTTTCAACCCACGAAACTATGTTCTTGGTATATTTTGACCAGGTTTTAGCATATGACAAAGCCAGCTCTATAGAGTCAGTGTTCTTTAACAGCACGCTGTCTAGCTCTAGAGCAGAAAAAGTTCCTGAAAACAGAAATAGCCATGGTAAGTATATGTTAAATATGATCACATAACAGCTCTAAACAAAGAAGCCCTCAGATCCTAAGATGTTCTTCAATAAAAACTGGTTTAAAAAAAATACAAGTGAAAAACAGTATTAAAGGGTCACAGTTTAAACTTAAAATGGTTTCAAACTATAATATATTTTTATCTTACGTATTATGTACTTCTAGTATTCATCAAGCTATGAGCTTTATACAAGTCTTCATCAATCTATATCATCACATCATCTTTCTACTCTAGCAGGTCACTTCCCTTAAGTTTTACATGTAAACCTTTACGTAGCGTTTTGCATTAAAAATGAATACACTGGGCTACTAAGCAAGAAGAGATTTATAAAAAGGAGCTGCAAAAAGTTTGATCAAAGTTATAAACCCCTCGAGCATTACCTTTTTCATTGGATGAGTCCACTGATTCCAAAGAAACGTTTTCCAAAGACTTGCAACATGGAAAAAGATAAACTTAAAATTAGAGCAAAAGATGACAAATCTTTGCTTCAGAATTTTTTTTACCCCAATTTGATATAATTCTGATATAATTCCTGGTAAAGAATTTCAAGTATTTAAAACTCAAAGGGTCCGAGAAGTCTGTTTAAACACCAGAATGCTTTATAAGAATCATATAGCTTTTTACAACAACAGTTCCCATCATCCAAGAATGAACAACCTCATTGTTTACTAACAGCATCCGTTAACATTAATGAATCCCTTCAAAACTTTACATTCTGCAGATTCCAAAAATACTAGTCAAGAAGTTAGAAAACCAATCTAAATAGAAGGCTATCTAAACAGATCTGTCTTTTTCAGTCATCTTTTATCATTTTACTATACGATAAAAGCACATCTCTGAAAGTCTATTAAATAGCTTAGTACAAAGCTTTCTGTGGTGATGAAAATGTTTTATATCTGTACTGTCCAATAAGGTAGTTACTAACTACATGTAGCAACTTGAACATTTAAAAAATGGCTAGTGTGACTAGGAAGTGAACTTTTAATTTTATTTAATTATTGATTAATTTAAATTTAAAGAACTACATGTGGCCAGTGACTACCTTATTGAACTGTGCTGAAAAACACCATCTACCAAAATTTTGAGATCTTAAACATATCTGATCTATTTAGTTGGGCAATATAAGGTATGCAGGGATTCAATGCAAAAGAAATCAAAGCAGCCTGGGTCTGAAGCCCAATTCTATTATTACCTGTATGACACTGAGCTACATATTTCAGTTACCTAACTTTAGTTTGCCTTTCTGTAAAGGGGTGATAAGAATACTACTTTATAGACGGGTATGGTGGCATGCTCTATAGTCCCAGCTACTTGGAAGGCTGAAGTGGAAGGATCACCTAAGCCCAGCAGGTCAAGGCTGCAGTGGCCGTGAGCATGCCACTGCACTCCAGCCAGGCTACAAGAGTGAGACTCCAACTCAAAACAAAAACAAAAACAAAAAAACTGCCTTAATAAGGCTGTTTTAAGGAAGATGATGTAGGCTCAACACAGTGCATAGCGTACAGTAACCACTATTAAATACACTGCAGCTATTATTTTTAAAGGGTATTTGTCAAAACCCTTTGTCAAACAAAGTAATTTTATTTTTAGCATTACATATCCTCATGACTCTTTTATTCCACTCCCTAAAGCAAATTAAAAACTTCAAAAAAAGGAAAACAAAGTGCAAGAAGGAAAAAAAGAAAAAGGAAATGTATTTCCTATTAAGAGTTAGTATAACGTGTGTGCACAACAGAAGCACAGGAACAGGAAATGTGATTCACACCTAGCACTGAAATTGTTCAGTCTTGTCACACAGATAAAATGTTTTATTATCTTCTGAAGTAGCAGCAACAGTTTAAAAAGACAAAACTGAGGAAAAATTGTGAATAACAGCAAACTATTTAAAGATCTTTTTATTTTAATTATTTTTTTGTAGAGATGGACATCTCGCTATGTTGCCTAGGTAGGTCCTGAACTCCTGGCCTCAAATGATCTCCTGCCTCAGCCTCCCAGAGTGCTGGGATTACAGGTGTGAGCCACTGTAACCGGCCAGAAGATTTAAAGACCATAAAACTCGTCACCATTCTCCTTCATTTGTCAATAGATGGCTTCAGAAATAGTCATAATATTTTTTATAATACTGTAAGAGCTATAACAAATGCCTTAAGTGAGTATTCATATTTTGTATCATTTTTAAAAGGACCTAAAGTTTTATATTATTTTGATATAATACAAGTACCTGGCACATTTCCACATATTATTTGTTGAAATCATTTTTGGATTTGATCATCTTCTTCAAGAAATGATCAACACATGTCCCTGATGTAGTTTGTTTACATATTTTGCATTCAGAAAAAAAAACAAACTGCTACTATTATAAATCTTTAAAGCAATATGCTCCATACATTCCTCATGTTCTATTATTCCGTTAACAATTTTTCTTCCAACCCCAATCCTGTGAAATACCCAGAGGGATGGTTATGGGGTGAATTAAGACCTACAGGGTAACAAATATTTCATGGTAAAAAACACTGTGGGATGTGTGGGAAGATTAACGCTCTCTTTACTTCTTATATTATTTTTCTAAGTTTGCACCATTCTTGAAGAACCGTGGCAATGTCAGGAGGAAAAAATGGTTAAGAATTACTAACATTCTGGACCATATGACATAGATTCATTACATAAGACGCTATAAAAGTATGAAGATATGTTATTTTAACATAACAGTCCACTTAAAAAGTATAACTAAATTAACTAAATTATTATTCCAGGACAGATACATTATTATATCCAGAAATTATAGGATAATTTATTCCCATAAATTAATCCTATTGAAAATGAACTGGTCTGGTAGTATGGTAATTTCTAAACTCAAAAACTATCAAAGAGTAATGCTGAGATTAAGAGGGAATCAACTTCTTAGGAAGCTGTTAATACATTAAGTTAAAAACATTAAACAATTTGCTTTCACACAATCTTTGCCTACCTTACTTTCCTGAGAAACAGGTAGTCGCAACAATGAATCACTGCCTACATCTCCCATAAGGAAGCTTGTAAGGCTATACAGGGAGGTTAAAAAAAGAAACAACAAAAAGACAAGACGTTATACTTTGCCACAGGCTTTACATTCAACATGGTATCTAAATAAATTTTTAAAGCAAGAACCTAAGAAACAAACTCCAGAAATCCAGTCCCGTAAACCACAATCACTTGCAAATGAATGTTGCTCCCAAACAGCTGTAAAGAAAGACACCTCTAATAAAGCAACACAGAATGTGGCTTTTCCAAAATTGTGATAATATTTTATGCTGGTCAATACTTTATTTTCCGTGTACCATACTGGATTATCAACAAACTCTCACTCAGACACCTAGGCCCAGTTACTTTAAATGACAGTCCTCTACTTACATATTCCCAAAGGTAAATGCCAAAGTTTCAATAGAAGAAAACACTTCTCGGAAGAGATCGTTTTTGTTTTCTTCATTGACTTCCGTGAAGTTCACAGCTACAGGGAAAAGTTGGTTGCAGTAAGTGAGGAAGAAAATATTTTAAACTAGATTTACACCAAATAATTTAATCCTTTAAAAATTCACCATTACTTCAAGAAACGTTAGAAGATTCAGAAGATGAGAAGCCTAACATACAAAATGGATATGATGTTCAAGTTCTTCATTACGAAAATCATACAAAAGAATAAGCTTGCATAAACTTAGCCAGCATTCCAAACTACTTCATGCATTACACAATTTAACACACCTAAAAAGTGTCCCAATGTGAAATCTATCAGTCCTGGAGTCAGACTCCATGTTATATCAGACCTCTCATCTAAAGAGTGTTCTATGCTATTTTTTTTGCTTACTGCTTTCTGGCATTTTTAAAAACAGTTAAACACATCGTGCTCACAAAAGTCAATATGAGGTACATTTTTTACTATGGACTACCAATAACTGAAGTCATATATAAAACTGACATAGTATAAAGTCTATAACAAAGCATATCACATTAAAAAAAAAACACCCAGTGTTTCAGAAAATTTAAATTCCTATTTACTTATAGTCTTATTTCTTATAACAGGTTCTTGGGCCCTGAGGTCCACGTTAATTGATATATAACTGCCTTTTGTTTACAATTGAGACATTCTAATATTTTGCACTTTGTTAAAGAATAACAGAAAAGGGTTTCTTGTTTTAACTCTGTACACACTCTTATTAAAAGCCCAGACAGTTTACCAAAACAAAATCTGAAGGTGGAATTCGCAATTATTTTTTAAGTAATAAAAAAATCCACTTAGGCTGGCTTTAAGGGGCAACTGGTTCCCTGTATCTCACCCTCCTAGCATCCTTGTCAATAAAGGTAGAGAAACCACGTGAAGAGGAAGTCATCGTCTGCTTTAAAACACAGTTGTTTTTAATCTTGTCTACACATTAGAATTAGCTGGGAAGTTTTAAAAACAAAGTCCCACCACCAAAGATTCTGATTTCATAGGCCTGTGGTGAAGCACAGATTTTTTTTTTCAAAAGCTCCAGAGCCCAGGTGATTCCACTATGCAAGTAAGATTAGAAAGCAAGAATTCCTGGGTAGGAATGAATTAAACTTGGTGTTTAACAAACTACATATTTAAAGGGTACAACTTGATAAACTTGACACGTGTACCCCTGTAAAACCATCATGATCTATAAACCTCACAAAACTAAAACCAAAATTTTACATAGCCTTTGTAAATGGGCAGAGGGAGGCTAAGATTCATACTTTTCATGAGAGTTTCCTAAATACCCAACAAATAAAAAGAAAAACTTAAGAACCATTGCAAATAATTTTTAAAAAATATTCTTGGACTTCTTTTCTGGCCAAGATGGAAAAACAGATTATATTTCTACCTGAAACAATTTTAAAAACCCATATAAAATATAAGAAACAATACTTTTCAAGACATTGGCTATCAGGCAACAAAGAACAAACCATGATAAGCACTACAATTATCACAATTCAATGTCTAATACCACACAAAATAGATTTCTGAGCAAAGAACATTGCCAAAGAGCACTGCCATATTCTGGGCCATGAAACAAGACTCAGTTAGTTTAAAAGGATTCAAATCAGGCAAAATATAATTTGTGACTATATGGAATTAAATTAGAAACAAGTAACAGAAGGATCTTTGGAAAATCCCCAAATATTTGAAAACAAAATACCACACTTCTAATTACACCAGAGGTTAAAGAAGAAAAGGGAACATTAAAAAAATATTTTGAACATAATTAAAAACGAAAACATAACATAAGAATTTGTGAGATGGAAGTTAGGAGGTACAGGCAGAAAGAAGAAATTATAAAGGCGCACAATTATCTTGATCATGACAATGATTTTACAGGGGTACACATACATCAAGTTTATCAAGTTGTACCCTTTAAATATGACTAGCCTGTTAAACATCCGTCATACCTCAATAAAGTTGTTTTTAAAAATGCTTGTAAAGCAGACTTAAAGTAGCAATTTATAACATGCCATCAAAAATGTAAAGCCTACTCATATTTCCTAGCTTTAACCTGTTAGACTTTAAAGACCATCCAAAATTCTATAATTATTCTTTCTTTCTTATACTATTTTCATGGCACTAAACATAACTGGGAGACTAAAAACTAATAATTCTAACAACTGTGAGTCGTGAGAAGGCCATCATGTGAACCACCCTCCTTCCTTATCATCATCCTACTTGAAGTTACAGCATCTAATGAAAATTCCTATTACTGCCTTTACCTCCACTTCAAAACAGACCTTGATTTATTTTTCTTTCTTTCTTTCTTTTTTTTTTTTTTTAAGTCGAGGTCTCACTCTGTCGCCCAGGCTGCAGTGCAGTACCATTATCACAGTTCACCACAGCCTCAACCTCCTGGGCTCGGGTGTTGATACTTCTGCCTCAGCCTCCTGAGTAGCTGGGACTACAGGCACGCACCATGAAACAGTCCTATATTTCTAATATCTAATATATTTCTTTTTGTTCCTGCTCAGTGTTTCAAAAAAGTCTTTGGCTCCTTTCCAATAATAAATACTCCTACTCCTTCCTACACTCTCCAAAACCCTATATCAACCTTGCTCCTCCCTGACAGCTTCCCTATAGCCACTCAACTGACATTTTTTCTTACACTACAAACATACTAAAATCTTTTCTATGTGGAAAAAAATGCTCATTTAGCCAAAAGCTAATTTACTACTATTCAATCTAATTTACTACTTCTTCACTACCAAACCTATAGGTAATGACACGGCCTATTTTGCTTTCCTCCCAAATTAATCTTAAACTCAAGACTTGGCTTTTCACTCAGTTTAATGGTTATCAGGGGTTGGAAAACTTTTTCTGTGAAGGGTCACATAGTAAATACTTTATGCTTTTTAGACCATATGGTTTGTCGCAAATACTCAATTCTGTTGCAAGGAGCCACAGATGATACATAAATGAATAAGAATGACAGTGTTCCAATAAAACTTTATTTACAAAAACAGATCTGGCCCACCAGTCCCTGTTTGCCAACCCCTGATTAGGAGGATGGGTTCTGAAATCAGTACTGCCTAGGTTAAATCCTAATCCTGTCTCTTACCATGTTACATACTCTAACCCCTTGTGCCTTGGCTTCCTCACACATAAAATGGGGATAATACTTATGTACTTCAAGAATTGTTGTGAAGGTGAAATGAACCTACAGCAGAGCTTGTTACATAGAAAATGTTCAATAAACGTTAACTTTTACCAGATGGGCATGGTGGCTCATGTCTGTAATCCCAGCATTTTGGGAAGTTGAGATGGGAGGATAGTCTGAGTCTAGGGATTCGAGACCAGCCTGGGCAACATGGCAAGACCTCATCTCTACAACAAATCAAAAAAAAAAAAAAAAAAAAATTAGCTGGCTGTGGTGGCGCACGCCTGTGGTTCCAGCTACTTGGAAGGCTGAGGCAGAAGGATTGCCTAAGCCCAGCTGGTCAAGACTGTGGTGGCCTTGAGCATGCCACTGTACTCCAGCCTGGGCGACAGAGTGAGACTCTGACTCAAAAAAAAAAGTTAGTTATTATCATACAATACCACTGAACAACACTGTCAACAATAACCTATCAGTCAAAATTGGAAGCCTTTTTTCTTTTAAGTCTTCATCCTACTTGACCTTTCTGCAAGTTTCAACATCTCTATCACTTAATATGTATGCAGCCTTGGACAAACGTCTATGTCCTAGCTTCCTAATCTGCCAAACGGGAGCTGATGTAACAAGAGTATTAACCTCAAAAAGTTGTTGTGAGGATTAAATGGAATAATTCATGTGAAGAATTTTACAGTGTCTGGCAGATAGTATATCCTCACTAATGTCAGCTATAATCACTAGGGACACTAACGACCTCCCTCCATATCTAAGTATCCTGCTCTCTTAGAAGCAATAGTTACAGTAACTGGAAGAAGTAAAGGCTTTGGAGTTTCAGACCTGAGTTCAAATTTGATCTCTATCACTGTGTGTGTTACTCTGCGTACATTAAGTGATCTCAATTTCCTCATAAGTAAAATGGCCGTTATTGTGAGGAATAACTAAGAAAGCAAATGTGAAGCACCTAGAATACAAGCCTGGCATTCATAAGCATAAGCCTCTCTCCTCAGTTGGGCCTGCCTTCCTACTCAGCCTACAGTTGTCACCATGGCCTTCTCTACAGCAGAGCCTCATTCGCTTTCACACCTTCAAGGGAACCAATTCCTAAACTCCCTGTCCAGTTTTAACCTCTGGGCTCCAGACCTACATCTCTAACTGGCTGTGTGATTTGTTGCTTCCCCTACTTCTCACCTGCTATTTTCCATGCCATGCTCAGCTCATTAGCTTCACTCACAAATGCCTCTGAAGTACTTACTTTTTCTTCCTTTCCATTCCCCTGTCACTGACTTAGTTTAAAAGTCCTAGTCTTCACTGTGTAACAACCTGCTAATTAGTGTCTCTGTATCCATCCTTTCCCCCCTATTAACAGTTCTTCACAACCTCATCAAAATGCTGCTTAAACAATAGTCTCTCTTGGGTTCCCTATTGAATCACAACACTAAGCCCTAAGACATGCTTAGTATCTCTTTAAGAAATCACATGAGCGGGAGTGATGGCTCACGCCTGTAATCCCAGCACTTTGGGAAGGGGAGGCAAGAGGACTGTCTGAGTCCAGGGGTTTGAGATTAGACTCTGAACTTGGTGAGACCTCATCGCTACAATATATCAAAAAAATCCAGCCAGGGATGGTGGCTTGAGCCTGTAGTTTCATCTACTTGGAAGACTGAGGCGGAAGGATCACCGGAGCCCAGCAGGTTGAGGCTGCGATGGCCATGAGCGTACCACTGCACTCTAACCTGGGTAACAGAGCAAGACTCCAACTCAAAAAAAAAAAAAGAAGAAATACATGAATTGATTTCATTCATACAACCTTTTTGAGCAGCAATTTTCAAACTTTTTGACCAAAACCTTTAGAACAAAATATGCAGGACAGCATGACCATGTACATCATACATCAGTTATATAACACCAAGTTCCTAAAACGTACTGAAATCTTACACAATGGGTGCTGCTTCTAATTTTTCATTTCTATTCTCTTGTTTTAGAAAATGCTGGTCAAATCCACTAACTTGATGTCATGAGTCAAGGCCCATGGTTTGAAAAACATTTAAAGATATAATGTGCCGGGCTCCGTGGCTCAGCCTGTAATCCCAGCACCTTGAGAGGCCACAGCGAGAGGACTGCTTGAGCCCAGGTAACATAGCGAGACCATCTCTACAAAAAAATCAAAAAATTAGCCAGGCATAGTGGCACGCACCTCCTAGGGAGGCTGAGGTGGATGGATCAGCCTCAAAAAAGGCAGAACCTCTACCCAAGGATGTGGCAATATCAAAAATATAAACACACATGCAGGCTAATCCAGCAATTGCTCATCAAGGAATCTGTATGACTACTTATTGAAGTATTGTTTGTAACAGAAAGAACTGGAAACAATCCAAATACCTATTAGTAGTGAACTAATTAAATAAATTATAGTACATTAACATAATGCATTACCATATAGCTTTGAAAAAAACAAAATAAATAACAAAAGAATAAGGAAACCCTTTATGTGCAGATAACTCAGAACAATGAGCAAGGAGCAGAAGGAGATTAAAAAATAGAACACGGACATGTATTTGCTTGCATATGCATAATATATCTCTAGGAAGATACACCAGAAACCAGTAATAATTGCTGCTTATCTAGGGAAAGAAATAGGGGCTCGCGGTCAGAGGTAGGAAAGAAACTTCACTGTTGAACACCCTTTTATACTATTTGCATTTTGAGGAACTGCATATTAAAAACATAAAGTTTGCAAAACAGAAACATGAGGCTGCTACAATCTTGGAAGAAAATTAGGGTTTATTTTTCTTTTCTGTTTAAGGGCAAATATAGGGCAAAACATACATGAAAAACCTAAATAAAGAGTTATTTTAATTTATGGAACAAATAAGATTGACCAAATAACTGAAAATAATGAAAACAGCTCAAATACTTAGTATTTCTTATAACAGAAATACTAAAGTATGCAAATAAATTACTGAGTTCTAAAGATGTCTTTATCTCCTTCAAAAATAGTCTGTATCTCTCTTACCATATTGCAAATATTTTGTCAGACAGAACTTCCTGCTTGGAAACAGGAGGACACACAGGAAATACAAATCACTACCAGAATGAATGGGGAAAAGCTAAGGGTTATTCTTTTAAAGTTACTAAAAGGTAAATTCCATATTTAAAATAAAAAATAAAAGGAATTAAAGATTCCAATTTCTTGCTTATTATGGAGAGGAAGTGGATAGACCTGTGGTGACACAAGATTACATATCTCTGATTTTAAAGTTATTCCATATGGTTCTTTTGAATAGTTTGGTAAATTTTAAAAATGCATTTGACAGTTAAAATCTCCAAAGCAAATCAAATGCTTACTTAGGTCAATGTTGTTTTTTCAAAAATGTAAATGCTGTAAATGATCTGCATACTCCTGACAGCTTTCTGCTCCTACCGTACAACAGTAATGCTTAAGTTTTCCTTTCTGAAATAGATACTAATGTACCTCTGTAGGTTTTGTTTGTTTGTTTGTTTGTTTGTTTGTTTTTGCAAAGATTAAAGCATGCAAAGCACATAGACTGTTTGGCAAAAAATAGACTTTCAAAAATGGTTTCGACCTACTCTGTGCCTTTCCAGGTTTTAAAACTAAATTGCTATTCAATGGAACAATTAAATAAGCTCTGATTTGAACTCAATTAATTGTTCAATGATATTTTTAGATGGCCTCAAAAGTAAGAGTTGGAGTGAGAAGGAAGATTTTATTTAAAAACATATAAACTTACCCCAAAGAAAACATAATATTTAAAGTTTTCCAATCTCATGGAGTCTTAGCGAAACAAAGTAAGTTTCCCAACAACAAAATAGTGTTCCCCTTTTAAATTGTCATACTAACACAAAAGTAAAACAAATAATACTCCCAAGTGTAAAGACAGTCACAGTGGGAAATAATATTCAAAAGATTGCTTTACCTCAAAGATAAAAGACCTTCAAGGCAGCTTAGAGGTCACGTTTGTCAAGTCTGTCAGTAGAATGTGGACACCAACTACCCACAGGCATACTCCTTCCCCAGGACATCCTGACTGCACACAATAGCTCCTGACAACAATTGAGCTAGGTCGCTATTTCCAAGCATGGAAATTTTACTATCTATAGACACAAATTTCCCTATCTAAGTAAAGTTAAATGGTACTTGTAAACAATCTGTTTAAAAGCAAATTTGGTTAATAAGCACATTTTCGAAAGTCAAGACGGAAGCTATCCATGTTTTCCATTTAAAATCATTTGGGCTGGGCGTGGTAGCTCAGCCTGTAATACCAGCACTTTGGGAGGCTGAGGAAAGTGGATTGCCTGAGCCTGCGGGTTCAAGACCAGCCTGGGCAAATTGGTGAGATCTTATCTCTACAATAAATAAAAAGCTGCACTCTAGTCACAAAAAAATTTTTAAAAATTATACATAACAAATAAAATCATCTGCATTTTTTTCAGTGCTTGAAATACAGAAATACAGAAACCACTTAAACAGGATATTAATATATCTATGTCAACATACCTATGTCAAAAGGTAGTATGTGGGGGATAGACCTTAAGTATAGGAACAATATTTTATAAACAAGGTTTTTATTTTCTTTTCCTGTCTCATCCCTTGACCTTGACCTTGCCCTTTACGCTCTCCAAATATGAGTGTGTTCACCAATCTCATCATGTTCCTCCCATATAGAGCTCTTGTACATCACAGTCCCATCCTCACCTATCCCAGCCCAGTTAATGCCTCCTTGACCTTTGAGATTCAGGACAGATAACCCCTTTCCCCAAAGCAGGCTTTCCTTTCCTCACTTGGCCTAAAATGGGCTCCTTATTCTGTGCTCCATGGTGCTGATCACAGGATTGCTGTTACCTTGTCTGTCACTGCAGCTACTACATCACTGCTACCCAAGGTTACTTTTTACAGCTACACTCCTTGAATCCATTTAACCTTATCAGTGGCATTTAACCCTGATGATCACTTCTTAAAACTCCGCACTTTTAAAATTCCATGACACCTCCTTTCAGATCATCTCTGTAGCTGTTAGGGGTGTCTCTGGTTCCTTATCATCTCTCTGTCCCTGGGATCTCCTGTCAGTCCTCTATTTATACACTCTGAGTTGGTGTCATACCTTTCCACCAACTATACATCAACAATTCCCAAGTCTACGTCTTCAACTCCAAACTCTTCTGTACCCCTAACATTCAACCTAACTTATGTTTTCTCAAATCAATATCCATTCCCTCTTATATGGAAAGTTGCCTTCTACTCCCACATCCCAGCTTCTGCCTTAGCTCAGACCTCAACCCCTATCTAGCCTATCATTCCTAACAACCTCCTGATGCCCCTGCCTCCAATCTCATCTCTTCTCAACACTCCCTTGACTCTCAATCCTTCTCATATACCTCAGAACAATTTTAATAATTTTGAGTGGCAAGTCATTTCATCAGAGGATAATGGTCCAATTCTTGATTCCAAGTTTTATCACATATAGGTTCTAAATAAACACACAATACACATATATATGAGATAAACTTATTTTACAATTTTGATGTCATTTTCACATTTTAAAATAAGGTCTCAATTAAGCCTTCTTTTTCTCCATTTGGTTCCCTCTTTCAAGTCATTACAGATGATCATTTCCAACATCAACTGTCCTCACATAACAAAGACTTCCTGTATATTAGAAGTCACCTCAAAAGAACATGCACTCACTTATAAAATTCAAATTTTAATCATCAATTGTTTGGTTTAAGTTAGTCTTTCTACCATGCTTGCTGCCAGATAAGGCTTCAATTTTTTAAAATGAAGAAAGCTTTAGGTGTGACTTAGTGGGACTATTTAAATACAAAAGTATACATAACTCCTTATTGATATACATTATATAAATGTCTTAAGAGAAGATGGTTATATAGTGATGAACCAAAATGTATCACTTGGATCCTTTTTACCCACAGTAAGTCACTTTTCAAATATCTTCCTTACCTTTCACTTTCGCAGTAAGCATTTCTGCAGCATTTTGAAGATCAATGGAATTGAGGTTCTGATGTTTATTCATTATAGACTTTAAAACACGGAGAAGTTCGTCCAGACGTATATGAATTATTTCTTTAAAACGATCTTTAAAAAGAAAAAAAATTTTTAAATTTGTTTTCAAAGCAAAGATCTAGGAATCTAAACTACAAGAAATCATTTGAAGCACATTTCAAGTAGTGGCACTAATTACATTTCTTGTCTACTGTACGTTTACTTCTAATTTCACTATTGCAATTATATGTTAATTTATAATATTAACTAATTAATATTAATGTAATACATATAAACATAATATATTAATAGTACATACTAAACAGCCTTCAGAAAAATTCTTCATCATTTTAATTCATTAATAAGGGTACCTGCATAATGAACATTTGTATACCTAACCCTGAATTGTACCACACATCTTTAAAATTAAAAAATAAAAAGTTAAAAAAAGAGTCAACGGGTCTCACAGTTTTGGTCAACTGAGCACTATCTTTTTTCAGTTTTCTCAGTCTAAATATGCTACCCAGATTTCCCTTGAGGCAATTTTATAGGGTAAGTTTTTTCCCGTCTTATAACTGTACTATCATACACTTTTTAGTATATGTTAATGGGGTTAAAAGCCCTACAAAGTCTGATATATTAACCATATTTTTAAAAATACATATTAAGTTTTCACAATAGAATTGATTCATTAAGTAATTTTCAGTTATCTGAAACCGGTAACTCACGAGCATATATATATATATATATATATTTGGACCATCATGTAACCTGCACATTTAAAAAACTGTTTTATAACTTACATATGATAAAATGTATGAATTAGTTGCCAATTATAAAAAATTAGGGGGCTCATTCCACAAACTTCAGATTTCTGCTTCCTCTTGAGAAGCCAAGACCCACTGTGTCAGACCCACACTGCTCCTTGGCCTTGGCCGCTGGAGCAGAGCAGGGCTGCCCTCCTCGGTGTATGCGCCTTCTCAGGGCCGACCCATCTCCCCCAGCTCATGTCATTCATTTACACCATCCTCGTCAGAAGGAGACGATTTTGGAAGCCCTGTGAATCAGGTGATTGTACAATTTATCACACAAACTAAAATACTCTTGCCAGTGAGGAGGATGCCACTCACAGTCACATCTGCACAATAAGCACCTCCCGGGATCCTCATCCCAGGCAAACCACGAAGCAAAGTCACCCTATCTTTTAAACTCCTAAAATGATCCTCAAAATCTGAAAAGACAACCACCTTAAATACAGTACTGATATAATTTTCCTTTCTATATTCTTAAATGACATTAGTATTTAATAAGAGTTTACATATATTAAGTGCTTGCTATGTGTTAGGCACTGTCACATCAATCTAATTAGGTAATTTAAAAATCTCCATTGTACAGATAAGAAAACTGAAGCACACCTAAGTTTAGCAAGTTATTAAATTGTGGAGCCAAAGGCTGGGTGTGGAGGCTCAAACCTGTAATCCTAGCACTGTGGCAGGCCAAGGCGAGAGGACTGTCTGAGTTCAGGCGTTCCAAAACCAGCCTGAGCAACTTGGTGAGACATTGTCTCTACAATAAATCAAGAAATAAGCTGGGCATGACAGCTCATGCCTATAGTTCTAGCTACTTGGAAGGTTAATGTGGAAGGATTGCCTGAGTCCAGCAGGTTGAGGTTGCGGTGGCTGTGAGCGTGCCACTGCACTCCAGCCTGGACGACAGAGGAGACTCCAACTCAAAAAAAAATGTGAGCCAAAATCTGAACTCAGGGAATATAATTCCAGAACCTATGCTTTTAATGTTATACTACCTCCCTACTAAAGTAGCTTTTAAAAAAATCCAAAATTTTAATACTGTATAGTATCATTTTATAATGACACAAATTATTCATTTTTTTCAGTAATGTTAAAAGACAATTACCAGAAAGAAAAAACTATAGTATAAAAAAAAAAAATCCTACCATCCATCACATATTTTACTCATTGACAGCATTATTAAGAGAGAAAGGCACAGGATGAGAAGAGTGGGCCAATTGGGGCAAGATGGAGAGCTGGATGTATTAAGGCAAACACTACTCTAGGGAGAAGCCAAGAGTAGCCCAGGTGGAGCTGAATGCAGAGTGAACACAGTGCCTCCCAGGAAAAAATCTGACTTATCCACCCAACAAATTTTATTGAGAGAAAAAGAAACACAGGAGAACAAGTGCTAGTCTAATTAACTTTGGAAATGAGTGGTCACATAAATACTTGTATTCGTTGGTAGTTATTTCAGTAGGGGTTTTGGTTAACAATTCTGATACTGCCATACATGAATACTGGCACTGAACAGTCAAGTAAATGATGGCAAGTGGTGGGAGCCAGGTATCTCGCTGTTGGAGTGGAAATTTAGAAATAAGCAGAGAGAGGAGGCAATAATGATGCATGCAGTGACGAATTCGAGTTGGATACTTCAGTAAGAACTCATGTTTAGTTTAATATACAGATGATGACACATAGGAATATTTATAACTGTGTGTATGCATACAGGGGTTAGTATATACACAAATATGTCTTTGCTCTGGCAGCTGAGAGGACCTAAAAGAAAGGACTCTCAGTAGCCACAAGCACATCTGGCACCCAGCTCTTGGTTTCTAACATCATTCTCCAAAAAAAGTAAGCAGGGCTCCCTGGAGAAATGGCTGATTCTAGGACTGGGGCAGGAAATGTACAAGATGAGCCAGGAGCACCTTGTAGTGGGTGGAGAGCTTAAAAAACAAACAGTGAGGAGGGTATGTCAAAGGTACATAGAAATTAACTGAAAGAGTTACCACTGGCCAAAGCTGGAACACTTTGAGCAACAAATAAATTAAGTGGTGCTGGATTATAACATAAAACATAAAACATAAAACAAAGATCTATGAGCCCAGACTGATATAAATGACTGAATACATTAATAAGTAGGGGAAAGTAACAAATCTCTTCCATAAAAGAATCCTAGGCTGGACTCGGTGGCTCAGCCTGTAATCCTAGCACTTTGGGAAGCCGAGGCGAGTGGACTGCCTGAGCCCGCAGGTGCAAGACCTGCCCGGACAACTTGGCGAGACCTCGTCTCTACAATAAACCAAAAATCAGCCAGTGTGGTAGCGTGCACCTGTAGTTCCAGCTACTTGGAAGGCTGAGGCTGAAGGATCACCGGAGCCCAGCAGGTCGAGGATGCGGTGGCCAGAAGTGTGCCACTGCACTCCGGTCTGGGTGACAGAGTGAGATTCCAACTCCAAAAAAAGAAAAAAAGAATCCTAAATGATTTCTGTCACTACTTTACCCTCAAGGAAGTGAAGCACAACTTCCTGAAGTATGAGCTATACATATGGACTTCTTCCAAAGAATCCAGTATGGGAGGGAGGACAAAGGAGTAACTTTACAGCGGAGGAACCTGACAAACACTACTTGAGACAGGGATCAAGGTCAACATCAACAGTGTAAATTATGTTCACATAAGTATCCTTGACATGATGTGATAAAAAGAATACATCTGTGGTCTTCCTCTCAAAAACCCATCACCCCAGTCACATCATGAGAAAAACATCAGACAAATTCTAATCAAGGGCCATCCCACAGAATACCTGACTAGTATTCCTTACAACTGTCAAAGTTATAAAAATAAGGAAAGTTTGAGAAACTTACAGCCAAGGAAGACCTAAGGAGACAAAGTAACTAAATGCAATATGATAAGATCCTGGAAGAGAATAAAGAAACTTAGGGAAAATCTATAGAAATCTGAATAAATTATAGCCTTTAGCTAATAATAATACTGTATCCTTATTATTGGTTATCAAATATTGGCTCATTAACTCTACCTAATGTAAGATGCAGGACTATATGGGAATTCTGGGCTGTCATCTCAATTTTTCTGTAAATCTAAAACTTTAAAAAATAGTCTATTTTAATAAATAAAATACAATAAAAGATTTTAGAAATTTTATGTACTGTTGAAATTTCCCCATAAAAACATTATAATTTTAAAAATGCATTTATAATTCTTTTAATTCCTATGGAAATTGAACATACAGTTTAAAGAACTGTCTTAAATTAAAAAATCACTATCTATTTAATATGTTTTATAATTGTGAATGCTAGTTTGTAGGTTTATTTAACTGAGGCAGTGTAACATGGTGGTTAAGAAGTACAGCCTCTAAAACCAGGATGCCTGACTTTGAATTCCAACTTTATGCCTGAGAACCCTTGGGTGAGTTTCTTAACCCCTCTGTGCCTCAGTTTCCTCACCTATAAAAAGAAAATGGTAGCTACTTCATAGGGTTATTGGATTAAATGAGTTAAAACACATAAGGCATTTAGAACAGTGGCTGGAACACAGTAAGCCTTCCAGAAATGTTTGCAGGTATATTTATTGTTAGTTTACACAGCAGTGGAAATAGATTAATAACGAAGGTTAGCTCTGAAATGAAATCTAGTAAGTCTGAAATAAAATAAACTTTTGAAAATATAATTTGAATAGTTGTAAGAAAAACAATTATGAAACCTTCCTGACTTCCTATTTTTTTCCCCAGCGCGACAGCAAAATCTCTTCTTTGTTTGGTACATATATTCGTATATCTAAGTAAAGCAAGTATACACTAGTGCTTCTGCCTACTTACCAAAACCAAGGTTGAGTGATTATCTATTACCACAGAGAGCTGTACAGCTCTCTTTTTGAAACCTAACCTATTTTAGTCTTAAAAAAGAAAAGACAGTTACTTCTATTTCCTACTCTAATGTTTCCCAATAAAATCTTCCAATATTAATATACTTAGGGAATATTATGAGAATACTTTATTTTAATGTCTCAGGACAAAACAGCTTGATTTTTTTTAAAAATGTCAACAACACCCATCAATATTCAAAATTAGTATTCAAAGTTAGACTTACAAAATACTAATGGCCCAAATGCCTAAATAAATAAGCAAGTCGGGCTCGGTGGCTCAGCCTGTAATCCTGCGCCTTGGGAGGCTGAGGTGAGTAGATTGCCTGAGCCCACGGGTTCGAGACCCGCCTGGGCAACTTGGTGAGACCTCATCTCTACAATAAATCAAAAAAATTAACCAGGTGTGGTAGCGCGCGCCT